GAAAACAAGGTCAAACAACTTCTAATGATTATGTTCCTCTTCTGTCTGTAGCTATGATGAAATTAGGGACCAAACACAACTGTTAGACAGAAAGTTGGTCAAGGGATTGATTTCACTTCTCTCTTTGACGAGTTGTAGCCTGGCGCTGACAATGTCGGCGAAACGGCTGGTAATGTACTAAGTTCATGGTCCAACTTTGGGAATTACTGTAACTACAATAGCAGAGGACTTCGTACAATGTGCGCCCAACTAGGTCGTCCTGACAACACGACGAAGTTGCAAAAAACAAGATCAGAACACTTCTAAAATTGTATTGCTGAAATAAACTAAGAACTATCTGAAAAAAGCTTACAAGGGCTACTAAAGCTACTAAAATGTAATGGTTTCACATAATTTTACCGTAGTGGCTATGAAAAACCTTATTAGGCTATTAGAACAGCGAAATAACTCAAATTAAGTGCGATTACTAAAATAGTAGAAAAATAATATATATTGAAAATTTTTTTCCAAAAACGTATTTTGATCTGGAAAACCGGAGTTTGATAGAGAATATAAATGGTATCAAGAAATGAATAATGGCAAGTTTTGTGTAAATCCTCCCCCAAAAATGCTGAGCAATAAAATAAAAGATAAATACCGTGACCATACAAAAGGCTACACTATCTTGGTCTTCATACCTTTGATTAAAAGATATATACGTTTTTACTGGTGGTAGGGATAGGGAAGTTGGCTAAATTGACAAGCAATAAGGAGCAATACAGGGAATGAAAATTGAAAGCCACGTACAGATTAATAAGAAGCAAATGAAAGAATAGACGAGGGTAATTATATGCTCAGATGTGTCTCCCATTGCATTGTTTAAAATGAATACAAATAAAATTAAAGTAAAGTGATAGATGAAAATGCGAAGAAATCAGTTGGATGTAGAAATTATTTCGGGTGAAAACGATCATAAGATGCAATTAAGTCAAATTAATAAGGATAAAGAAGCCCTAGTTATAAATACACTATGGAAGCTAGCACTCAAGCTGAAGGCAGAAGTAAATCAAGGTTTATCCGAACAAGTTGAGACATATTTGCAGTCTATTCGAACTCGGTGTTGATAGACCTGTTGGTATACCCAAGTGTACCAAATTAATAGTCAATGAAGAATACGTTTCAGGTAAAAAATCAGAGGTGGTCAGCAGGCAAGAAGGCCTACAAGTACAGACAAGATGTGAATACGAAGTGAACGTAAAGAGATAACAGCCATACTAGCGAACATAAAAGCTAAGTCATAATGCTCGAAAATAGGCCTGGACTTAAGAACAACGAAATTTGATAGGAAACGAACATTTTAGCTGCACAAATACAGTGATACTTAATAGCTAAATCAAAGGCCATCATAGCCCATTTAAATGAGATAAAAGAACATATAAACTTTATCCTTAGGCAATTAACATGTAGCTCTATAAATGTCCTCGCTGCCTGAAAATTAAGTCGGGCATCGAACCTACAAAGCAAACATAAACAACGAAGAGGCAAGCAATTTAAAAACTAAGCAGTTGATTTCCCCATACTTTCATTCGAACTAGACATCGAGATACAGATTAGGCGAGTAACCTGTCAAAAATGATGTGCTCTCAAAAGTCGTACAAGGATTGTTAACCAGATGAACGCGAAAAGAAAATACGTTTAATTAGTTAGTCATAATCAAAAGAGTGCAAATTGTATCCTCCAGGAAGATAAAAACACTTGCGATTTAGACCTAATCATACTAATAGATAAATAAACAGTTTACACTAAAAGGTCTCGGCACGTATGCTAAAATTCCAGACTCCTTTCAAGGCTTGGCTGAAGGATGAAGATGACTTCTGGTAGATGTAAGGTAAGCCAGCCTTTCAGAAGTGCAGATAAAGGATTAACCTTAATATCAGAAAAACAAACAAACCAAATAAAAACATATATTGATATGGCCAAATTTATAATTGTGCTTTTATTTCGTCTGCCACAATTATCTTTCTCTCCCTCGCTATATATATATATATATATATATGGCAGTGTAAAATATTGGCTAATCAAGACTTTTGAAAAATCTAATAGTAAATAGGGGTCGAAAGTAATATTACCTATAAGAAGAAAGTGAAGCGCACAAAAATGTAATATTTAAGGGGCCCCCTAGCACCGCCTATAATGATTGATCCCACATTACTTTTTTACAGGGAGCCAAGTTAAAAGAAATGATCAAGAGAAAAAAAAGTAATAGCCCGATAATTGTTGTTTCGAAGCCCAGGGTCTAATTTAAATTGTGCTTAGTTTCGATAAAGTGTATCAGACATATACTATAACTATTAAAATGGGAAATAAATATTATCTGAAATAAGAGGTGAAAGATCACTCTGAATCAGTAGGGCTTCGCGAGATCCAGTCAGTGCCAGGAACCACTTTGTCTTGATAAAATTTTTTCGCAGTCCTATTGAATATAGGCAGCAGTTCGTAGGCTTCCTCGGGTTTCCTCTTCAGATAAATATAGGCCTGGCATCCGACGCCCTCCAAGACAAGAAGAGAGAGCTCACCGTTCAAGTAGCGCGCAAACAGTCGCGAGAGGGGAAGCCCATGCCCATAACCCGCCAGGATTGGTGCTTTAGTTGTGCCACTGGGCGGTGGAGACCAGTCTGCTAGATCATCGGCAGGAGTCTTGTCAATCGGCCGAGGAAGTGGCTGCTGTTGCCTGTCGGTGGGAGCTAAAGTCTGTTGAGACGAAACCGCGGAAGAGTTAGAAGAAAGAGAGGGAGAAGAAAGGGACCATGGGGAGGAAGAAGAGAGTTCGGACACCAACCCACTAGATTCAGATGAATTGGAGGACACCAATCCACTAGATTCAGATGAATTGGAGGACACCAAGTCTACTAGAGATGGCGTAAGATGGTTCGCAGTTGAGAAGGTATATTTGAAGGCTTGCTCTGCAACGAATCGAGGCATCCCTCCTCCGGCATCAATTATCTGGAAGTTGATAGAGAAGAGTGAAAAAGAAAGTCAATCTCGGCAAAAGAACAGTACGGATGGAGGAATTTTGACAAGGGCATTAGTAGTAAGTAGAAAAATAGTAGGTTTCAGGAACCGCTATCGTATAATCAGAAACTTGGTATGTGAATGGAATAGGAGCCCCAATCATATCAGTTTAAGCAGAATGTTGTATAAATTAAGACAAGTTATAAAATTAGAAAAAGGAGACCAACGTGCGTATACAGAAGAGTAAAGGTAAGATGACAACTGCTGCTTACTCAACCCCAAAAAGTCCTTCGTTGTTACGGTCTGAAAGTCTACTTTACAGACCAGCTAGTATGTTTTAGGAGGCACACAAGCCTACCTGTGTCTCTTAGTCCTAGGTGGAGATGAAAGTGGTAGGAGAAACTAGTTCACTTTTTGTATAGGAGCCGATGATTGTTCACAACCAACAAATTAATCAGCTGATTCATTAGCAAATAAAGGCAGAAATTCTTCGCTCTTCTTCGTTTCTATGCGTAACTTATCTGCATTAAATTAAAAAACCTAAACCAGTACTCATCCCAATTTGATTTTGAATTTGCTAGAAAGCGAAATATATGTCTCATTATCCATTCGAACAGCGTTGAATTCCTTGACGTAAAGCATTTTTCATATTTGTTGAATAGTTCCCTTATCAGCTTAAATGAAATAGAGCAAAAATATCTTATATATACGATCTATTGGTAGTCGCAAAAGCCTGCTTATGAAAAAAATATTCACTTGAATATACTTAAAGGTGATTAAGTAGAATTTTCAAGGGATTAGACATTCTTCTATGTTGACAACATTTTCAGGTTCTCTTCAAATCGGTAATTGTTATAATGCCAAACAATTTCTTCTCAAAAGCCCACATCTTGAATATTTCACGCAACTTCTGAATGACCAAATTCACACTTGATAGGGATCAATACAGAAATAAAAACAAGTGGTCAAATGAGAAAATGTAAACAGCCAGACAGTCGTTGATTTTAAATGAAGAAAGTTTATTTAATGCACAAGACGAGGTTCAGAAATAAATGAAAGCTAATCGCCAAACTATATTAAAAAGGTCACCCATCATACACAATATATATTTAATACAGTGGCATACATTGAATAATATGAATTTGTTGGCTGATTCGTAGAAAGAAGGAAGATTATCCACAAAGCTTCAGGCTTGGAAGATAAAACTTATAGATTCGTAAATTCCTAGTGAAAATTCCTAGTTTTAATAATAGTAAATTTACTCGTCTGATTAGAATTTACTTGGGACGTACTCAGCCCATGGGTTGATGATGCTGCAAAATATGTATGCAACAGTGTGTAGAACTTTTTATTGTTTTTATAGATTAACAATTGAGCTAGTATTCTCAAATATGGTGAATATTAATAATTACTGAGGGTTGGAATAAAATTCGAAAATTTGTTAGTTCAGCGAGTTAGCCTACAATAAAGAGAGGAATTGAATCGTGACGATCATAAAGTCTTAGCTGTAACTCGTGATGGCATGAATTATAAAAAGTAAATTCTGCTTATAATCGTTTGTTTAATCTTAAAACTAGGTCTGCTAAGATACCCCACCCATTTAAAGGTATGTCTGAATTTAACTAATATTGGTCAAATTTAGACTCGGACTGATTTTCCTCTGATCGGATAAATAAACTAACTAGCTGACAAGCCTTTGGCTCAGATTCGAGTCAAGATTGATAAGTCTAAATATCGCCATGCCGAATTTGAATAAAGTACAAGGTTTTGTGCTCATGCGGTAACGTCTATGTGGTAGAGACCTGCTGGCCTATCAAGTAGAGACTATGCGAACACAGAACCGCTTTTAAAGGTCTATGCATCCAAAA